TAAGACAAAAACAAACATAAAAGAATCCCTTGGGCCAGGCGTGGTGGCTCATGCCTGTAATTCCAGCACTTTGGGAAGCTGAGGCAGGTGGATCACGAGGTCAAGAGATCAAGACCATCCTGGTCAACATGGTGAAACCCCGTCTCTACTAAAAATACAAAAAATTAGCTGGGCATGGTGGTGCGTGCCTGTATTTCCAGCTACTCGGGAGGCTGAGGCAGGAGAATTGCCTGAACCCAGGAGGCGGAGGTTGCGGTGAGCCGAGATCGCACCATTGCACTCCAGCCTGGGTAACAAGAGTGAAACTCCACCTCAAAAAAAAAGAATCCCTTTAGATTTTATTGAGTTAAACAGATTCTTAAACCACGTTCATGGGGAAATGTTTTTCCCACTCCAACCAATAAGCTATTTTATTTATATGAAAATTTGTTTTCTTTCATAAGCACACTTTTGCTATGCAGTATTGTTGAATTCCTCCTCACTGTACCTCCAGAATTTATTCATTAAAATATCTGATACTTTCAGATTCTTAGAGATTTTATGCATAAAATTTAAAACAAATATATTTACAAATGGCCCCTTGTGAAGCTGGGGCAAATGTTGAAAATGTAAAATCAGTACGTTATAATTAACAAGTGACACGTGGGTTTGTGTTTGTTTTCTCCTTTTCAAGTACCATATCAGTCACGATATTTAAAGGAATCTTAATACAAATAGGTTTCTACCATTCTTATCAGTTTTGCTTTAATCAATAATCCAATTTAACTTTTCTTCTTCCTTGTCAATTTTATTATAACTGTCTGTACCAAAATGTGTAATTTCATTCAGATTTATTTCAAAATCCTTCCATCCCATGAATAAAGCTTTTGGCGACTGTTTCAAACAAAAGTTGTGTGTAATCTATGGAATTGTCTTACACTGTGAAGACATGTGCTATACAAAGCAAGCAGTGATTCTAGCTAATAAATATTGGAGTCACTATTTTGATTCAGAGTTGGCGCTTTCCATCCAGAATCAAGTTTGGTTATGCACAAAAATTTTCCACAAGCTACTAGATCATAAAGAATATAACTTAAAAATTTACAAAAAGAAGTAAAGTAAACCTAAATTATAGTACATAATTCCTGAAAGCAAGATTTTAAAAATAGAACCAGCATTTAAGTTATTGAAGTCCCTGTATGAAGATTTTACCAGATAGTTTATAAAACCTTTGAAAGGACATTCATAATAAAAATGTGCACTAAAATTGATTAAAAATACATATTTAGACTTTAGAACCAAAATAAACATTTTGAGTCCACAAGTTTTGATAACAGATTCACTTATGTTTCCAATATTTTGCTTACATTTTTACTAATAAGAAAAACCATTATAAAAGAGATGAATTTCTTTTTAAAACCTAAAGAGAAAAAAAATAAAAACATAAAAAGTCCATCAGTGTGAGAGGCTCTGAGGGGCACAGTTTTTAGATAACTGTGTATCGCCCAGTCTGTACATTTTCTTCAGTGTCCTCAAGTCTAATATTTGTCAGCCTTTGTCTCACATCAATTTTCTGACCTAATTAATGTTTTTCTTCAAACAAAGGTAAGCATGATGACAAAATAATATTTTCTTAATATTTAAGATTTTGATAATAGAAGACTGAAATACACAAATATATAAAATTTCTACATAGAAATTCAAAATTGGGCACATGTAGTAATTTTAATAGTAATCTCTCTCACTGTAAATTATATGTAATCCTAATATTTTGTGTTATAAACTTATCAGTTATGCAAATTTGTTAGTTTGCAATGAAAACTATGTCCAAGTATAGAACTAGCAAGTCAAATCTTACAAGAACACTGTATTAAGTTAGTAACTATAATTTCATTCCATATTTAGCAGTTGAAAACTAGTTAATTTTAATCTATACGCTTGATTTCTAAGACTTGCTAAGGTCTATATTCAGAAAGTAATATACTGTAAATGATCACTGTTAGTAAGTTTTGTCAATGTTCCCATTGAAGTCCCCGAGTTAAATTCAATGAACATGTTAATTGTAATATTTTAATTTATTGTTTCCATACTCATTATGTAGCTTAATATTTCCATTTGTAAATAATAACTTATGTGAACAATATCATTTACAAAATAGTGCCAGAAAACACTTGAGTTCAGTGTTTAGATTCTGTACGTTTCCAGGCTGATCATGTTTACACAGCTCTTAGAAGGTTGGAAGACTTTTCTCATTTCAAGCCAGTAAATTTCAATTAAAAATTTATACGGCTGGTAATACTACCTAATTCTAGTTTTAATTGAAAGAAAATAATATGAGTTTATTTTAACATAAAAGCTCATTTTATATTTAAATCCAGTTACCTTTACAGGTCTTAGATAATACATCAATATTTTATTCTATTATTTGACTCATACAAATTACTTGATGGGTCAAATAACAGGATACTTGGGCAGTCTCTTCAAAATAAAAACTAAAAGGAAAGAAGGATATCTGGGTCATCAGAAAAAGAATTTTGTAATTCTAAAGCAACTTGAGATATTTTTCTGACCACTATAATTGATCCTGCTTCACTTACACATATGAATAGGTATACTGGCTTATTGTATGCACTCTTAATAATGTTCCAGGACATTGCCTTGGTAAGTTACAGTTACTTAAAGTTTATGGCCAAAGTGCTTGTTACCTGCAACAAAAATTGCTGTGAAAGCTTCCTCTCCTCTAGATCAATTCTCTCTCTTTTTTTAATCTCCCACTTAAGACTAGGATTGATAATTTTTCTCCAGATAATCCACACTCATTCTTGCAGGAGACCTTAAAGCTAACTGATCAATGATTTTGACATATAGATATTAAATACTGGATACCATTTTGGTTTAGCCAACAGCTTCTTTTTAATGGGTTTTTTTTCTTTAAATGTAGGTTCGTCTTTACTTGTAAACATCAGACTATAGTATCACCATTTAAAATTGAAATATCACAAAAATATTTTCTATATAGCCACACTAAAAAATAAATACAGGTAACTTACGGCCCTATTCCATTTTCTAGCAAGCTTTCCAGTTGATCTTTTGGAGTAACACCAGTATTTTTTCAACATAGACAACCCTGCCCTGTATGTTTACCGTCACGACCATTAGTAAAGCCAACAACAGCCCAGAAACATATGATAGAATTATTCATGTAGCAATCTCTCAACAGCAAGAGAGTTTTTATAACATACATTTTGGGAGCCTAGAAACACCTGGTTTCAGCTTGAGCAGGAGGGGAGGAAAATTGCCAAGTTTTCTAAAATGTGGAAGCATCATCTATGTTCTGAACACATATCGTACGTTAACCGGACAAAGTATGTTTTGCATAGAGAGGGTATGGACTGCTTTAGAGATGCTTCTGTAATATTCTAAAAAAAATGAAGTTATAGAAATTATGGTTTATAAGAACTGATACATTGATAAAATCAAAAGTGAAAGCTAATAACATCCATTGATGTGAAATTGGCCTGCTGCTTTCCAAAGACTGACTTATTCCTTGACAGTAACGTACTTAAAGGTGACAGACTCTTTCCAGCCACTGATGCTGGTTCATGCACAAATGTCATGGCCTCCAAGACACTAGAGGTGGAATCACACACCATTCTCAGCATGATTCCACACATACCTTTAACTGAAAGGATAAACTTGTTTGTTCCTCTGTCTCTGCAAAGAGAACCTTCTACCCTTTTATTTTCTGATAATCTCACTACAGCCAAACTCATCTGCACAAACCACAAGTAGATTTTAACTTTCCACAAAATATCATTTTTGCCCAACAGAGAATTCCCAATCAGAATATAAACTTGTGACTTAGCATAGAACACCATCCAAAGTAAACAATGTGTGTTGTAAATAGGGGTTGGCTTCTGCCTCTATCCATACATCGCTTTTTAAGTTTACAGACTCCAGAGTTTGTGTTAAAGACAATAGCTCTTGTATTACATGCAAAACAAATTTTAAAATCTCCAGCAAAACAGTACCAAGGTAGACACGCCTCAGCCTTTGACGTATTACTAGTTCAATTTCTTAAAACCTAATACTTAAAAAGTTAATTTCCTTTTCCAAAGTTCTATCTCTTCTTTGTAAAAAAAAATTTCTGCCAAAAGCTATTTTAATAATGATAGCAATATCCCAAAGGTATCTAGGCACAAATCTGAAGACATGACAACAAATAAAATCTCTGTGCCCTGCATGATCAAACAGTAAAACAAATTAATTTTCTCTATTAAAACTTTCAGCTACTACAACAAAAGCTCATTTAGTGAAATTTCCTTTACTTAATCACCATCCATATAAGTGTCCAACCATAACGTTAATAAAATCCTTCTGGGCCGGGCACGGTGGCTCATGCCTGTAATCCCAGCACTTTGGGAGGCCGAGGCGGGTGGATCACGAGGTCAAGAGATTGAGACCATCCAGGTCAACATGGTGAAACCCCGTCTCTACTAAAAATACAAAAAAATAGCTGGGCATGGTGGCGTGTGCCTGTAATCCCAGCTACTCAGGAGGCTCAGGCAGGAGAATCGCTTGAACCCAGGAGGCGGAGGTTGTGGTGAGCCGAGATTGCGCCATTGCACTCCAGCCTGGGTAACAACAGCGAAACTCCATCTCAAAAAATAAATAAATAAAATAAAATCCTTCTGCATTAAAAATAAACTCTTCACAGTACAAGAGGGCTAAAAGTTTATATTCAAACATCCCAAAGCATTTTCACTACAAATTAACAAAAAGAAAATGCAAACGAGAAAAGTCCCACCCATAAGCAAAAAAACTGAGAACAGGTTTTGGGCTTGAAAGTTTGGCGATTCTAACAGTGTTACCCAATGCCAGTGTATTAAACAGAAGCCAAATGTCCATACCACAAAACGACCTGTGACACAGCAGCGCACTTTTTCATTGTTCATGCAGAGTAGCCTGTATTAGATCATTTGAACAGTGAATGCTTGTGCAAAACGCAACACGTCTCCTACCTTCATATAACGCTTTGAAGCCTTGGGCACTCACGGCGAAGTCTGTCGTGAACCACAGAGTGAGGATAGATCCAGTGCTCACTATAGAGGAGGGCAGCTCAAACCCCGATAATCTAAATTTAAAACAAGACACGAAGAGAGTTAAAAGCATGAATTTGTTACAAAAACTAATGTGATGAAGTCACTGAATGGTACACTCACATGAAATATGGCATTAAACACTTAGATAATCCACACACATGGCGTTGGTTGGTATGTATTTGAAATCAAACATTTTCAAGTATCAGAGTTTACTTAATTAAATTTTGAGAAAATTTACTGTTGAAAAAACTGTTCTATATAATATGCCCTTGTCTTAGATGCTCCTTGGTTTTGAACGGCTATAATCTACTGCAAACTACGTTGAATTTTAATTTTAAGTTCTGGGGTATATGTGTAGGATGTGCAGGCTCGTTACATAAGTAATTGAGTGCCATGATGGTTTGCTGCACCTATCAACCCATCACCCAGGTATTAAGCCCAGCATGCATTATCTATTTTTTCCTAATTCTCTAATATTAAATGTTTTCTAATTTTATGTATATATATATATGTGTGTGTGTGTGTGTGTGTGTATGTGTATGTGTGTGTGTGTGTATATATATATATAAAACAGGCAAAGTGTGTGCATGTGTGTATAAACATTTGTACACTACGACATTAAAGCATTACAAAGCCACTGAGGTGATTGCAAAAGAGTCTGTGATTCAGTCAGATTCCGAGCAGTGCTCTTGGGGAAAGTGAGATGACCAGGATGGCAAAGGCCCCATGCAATAGGCAGTGAGCTGTCTGGAGGGCAAATAAATCCTGAGACAGCTCTGCGATCCTCAGTAGGACTCCCAACATAAGAATGCTAAGAATACCTACATTCTGGTAAGTAGCTTATTATCTGTGTTATAAAATCCACAAACTCCTGTGCTGTGGAGGCTGGTCTGTCCTTTCTCACCCTCCTAGGAGCCTTCCTCCATGCCTGTGTTTTGGTTTCTCAGCTTTCCTAGCTGACACAACTAAGGGATCTTCACCAACTCTCAAATTATATTCATCCTTGTAAACTGCAGTTATCTGCTGTCTGTTCTTTATTTTTCAATTCAATCCCTTAAAGAGACTCATTTGTCTTTTAATTTTTTTACCATTGGATACCGAGCCAAACCACTTCCAGACTGTTCACTCACATCACTAAATGACTGAGGAATGGAAAAAGAAACCACTGTCATACCATAAGACACTGCCTTGTGATTTATATGTTATCTGATGCAACACGAAAGGCAATTCAGTAAAGCAAACATGACTTTAAAAAAGGAAGAAAAGACAACAGTGAGTTTAAATTCTCCTGTGACTGAAGCCCGGCAGGATTACAGAACTCACCAACCCTATATAACAACAGTATTTAATCAATATTTACAGAGCACTTCACACAACAAGAACAGAGCACACATTTCTTTCAAGTGCCCATAGAATATATATCAAGATAAACCATCTTATAGACCATAAAACAAACCTCAACCCCTTTAAAATAACTGAAATCATATAGTGTCTTCTCTGACTGCCATGCTATCAAGTCAGAAATTAATAAGATTAAAAATGACAGGAAAATATCTAATTACTTGGAAAATAAACAGCACAATTCTGAATAAAACATGGAGCAAAGAGGAAGTATCAAGGAAAATAAAACCTTACATGAACTGAATGAAAATAAAAAATACAACATATTAAAAATTTTAAGACTCAGTTAAGCAGTATTGAGAAGATAATTGATAGTATTAAAAACACAAGCTAGAAAAAAGAAACTCCCAAATTCCTAATCCAAATTCTCATCTCAAGAACTATAACAGAAAAAAAAAAAAAAAAAAAAATGAAACTAAAGGAAACAGAAAGCAAGAAACAAGGAAAGTATAGAAATCAATAAAATTTAAAGAAAAAAGAACAAATAACGAAACAAAGAACCAGTTCTTTCAGGAAAAAAAAATCAATAAAATTGACAGAGTGACTACGTAATTGGGACTTTCAGAAGGTCCAAATAGTCACTGTCAGGCATTAAACATTAAATATTACTATGAACTCAGAAGACAAAAAAGATATTAAGAAACTATGTATGTACATTTGGCAACTAAGACAATATAGGCCACTAACTCAAAAAATAAATGATTACAACTAACCAATGAAAAACTACATGATGTGAATTAACCTATAGCTATTAAAACTCCTAAATAGGCCGGGCGCGGTGGCTCAAGCCTGTATGTAATCCCAGCACTTTGGGAGGCCGAGGCGGGTGGATCACGAGGTCAACAGATCGAGACCATCCTGGTCAGCAAGGTGAAACCCTGTCTCTACTAAAAATACAAAAAATTAGCTGGGCATGGTGGCGCATGCCTGTAATCCCAGCTATTCAGGAGGCTGAGGCAGGAGAATTGCCTGAACCCAGGAGGCGGAGGTTGCGGTGAGCCGAGAGCACGCCATTGCACTCCAGCCTGGGTAACGAGTGAAACTCCATCTCAAAAAAAAAAAAAAATCCTAAATACATTTCCAGCAAATGTTCCTACTGGAGAATTGTACCTTTAAAGAATTAACACCAATTGTACACACTTTAAAGAATTAACACTAATTGCACACAATCTCTTCCAGAAAACCTAAGTAGATCCACTGCTTTTCTAGTAATTTTGTGGCATCAACAGTACCCTTTCCTTAGGGGCTGAATTATGCTCTTCCCACCAATTCATATTCAAGGGCTTCATATTGAAGCCCCAACATAACTTATTTGGAAATAGGGCTTTACAGAGTAATTATAGTTATGTGGTGTTAAATAATTAGGACTCTGATCCTACAGGATCAGGGTCCCGTAAAAAGAGGAAAACAGGAAGATATCTTTCTTCCTTGACACATGCTCAGAAAAGTCCAGTAAACACAGAGCAGGAAGGCTGCTGTCTGCAGGTCAAGAGGAGAGCCCTCATCAGAAATTGAACATGCTGGACTCTGAGCTCAGACTTCCAGTCTCCAGAACTGTGAGAAAACTGTGTTTCTCAATCCCTGTAGTTTATAGGATTTTGTTATGGCAGCCTCAGTAGACTAAGACACTCTGATATCAAAACCAGATAAATGCAGATAAAAGAAAAATAAAACAGTCTCTCTCATGCATGTAGATGCAAAAATCCTTAACCAAGTAAGAGAAAATAGAAGTGGGCAACATGACAAGAGTTATACAACATGATATCAGAGTGGTTCAATCTTTGAAAATTAATCCGTATAATCTGCATTACTAATGGGCTAACAAAGTACAATCACAAGATCATAGTAATCTATGTAGAAAAAAGCATTTGACAATAATGAACACTGAGTCATGAGAAAACTTCTCAGTAAAATATGATTGGAGGGAATATTCTCCAACTTGACAAAGAATATCTCTACAAAAAAAAAAAAAAAAAAAAAAAGCCCAAAGAGAACATTTTACTTAGTGGTGAAAGACTGAATATTCTGTGTAAGACTGGGAACATGACAAGAAATATCTGCTTTGAACACTTATTCAGTATTGTGATGGAAGACCCATGAATGCAATAATGCAAGAAAAGAAAATAAATGCACACAGGTCAGAAAGGAATAAATGAAATTACCATTATTTGCAGATCGCATAGTGATCTTTATAGAAAATGTCAAGGGATCTGCAAGAAAACTCATAGAGCTAACACTTGATGTCATCAAATGCACAGGCACACAATGAACATATAAAAATCTACTGTATTTCTGCATACTAGCAATGAACATGTGGACATCAAAATCTGAAATACATCAATTACAATAACTCAAAAAGAAAAGCTTCTGTATAAATACAACAAGGTATGCCCAGCAGTATATACAGAAAAGTACACAACGTTGAAGAAAACATTCAGAGTAATGCTAATTAAATGGAGATACACCATGTCAATAGACTGGAAGACTCACTAATGTAAAGATACAGGTTCTTTCTAAATTGATACAGGTTTTACACAACTTCTATCAAAATTCCAGCAAGTTTTTTTTTTTTTTGTAAATATAGCAAGATCATTCTAAAATGTATATACGAAGGCAAAACAGAATAGCTCGAATAATTTTGTGAAAGAATAAAGTAGAAAAATTAGTTTACCTCATTTCAAGACTTACTTTATACCTACAACAATTAAGACTATTTGGTATTGGCAATTGACAGATTGGCAAAGAAATAAACCCATAGTTCAATGGATCAGAACAAGGACGCCAGAAATAAGCCTAAAGAAACATCTCCAAATTAGTTTCAACAGGTTCAAAAACAGTTTCATAGAATAAGTCAACAAATTGTAATGGAACAACTGGATATTATCCAAAGACAAGAACAAAAGAGCGCAGACCTAAGTTTAACACCTTAATAAAAATTACCTCAATGTGGATTACAAATATAAATGTAAAATATAAATCAGTTAGACTCTTAGGAAAAAAAATAGAGTAAATTCTTTAGAGTTTAGGGCTATGGTTTCCATACTTGACACCAAAATTACAATCCAGAAAAATAAAGGTTAATAAATTGGACTTCATAACGTTTAAAAACTTTGTCTCTGTGAAAGACCCTTTTAAGAGGATAAAAGTACATGCTGCAGACGGGGTGAACATATTTGCAAACCAAATTTCTGACAAAACATAAGTATCTAGAATATACAATGAACTATCAAGACTCAACGGAAAAAACAAACAATCCAATTAGAAAACAGGCAACAAGCGTAAGAGTCATATGACCTAAAGGAGATCAGAAGGCAAATAAAAACATTAACATTTACTCAACCTCATTAGACATTACGGAATGCAGACTAAAACTACAGAGAACTATCATACATGATGTTCCAGCCTATCAGAACGGCTGAAATAAAACATAATTACAAAAATCACATGCTGGCTAGAATGTCAAGAAAAATGATTGCTCTTATATTGCTAGTGGAAATATAAAATGGTACAGCCAATCTGGAGAAGTTTGACGTTTTATTTAAAAAACCAAACATGTAAGCATGCAACTACCAGCTCACCTAATTGTTCTCCTTTGCAGTTGCCCTAGAAATTCTCATGATTGGAAATAGTC